ATCGTTGGGACAACTCAAGTTCTCGCAATCTTTGCTAGCTCACAAATTATATTCTAATAATAATATAATAATGACAATAAAAAATAGTGGCTTCAGCGTTTATTAGGTCGTAGGCCTGTCGCCGATTTTTAACATCGCATAACATTCACAGCTTGTTGCGGTCTCGAACACGCAACTCGCTGTCTCAATTTTGCTTTGCCTAACCGCCCGGCCTCCTCGCCAAATTCTGACCAGAAACTGGCACACAGAGCTGAGATCGAACCCGCACCTCTCTGCTCCAATCCTGCCACTCTGAAGTATAACCACCAATGGGCATAAATGGTTGGTTATGGAGAGACTTTCAAACTGATACTACAGACAGAGGCCTGATCTCTTCGCCAGTCTTCATCTAAGCTGATTCTTTAGACTAGTTCCATAAAGGCTTCCATAGACTGACGTAAGCCTGATCTAATCATTAGCCATAAAATATACATAAGGCTAAAATTTCTATCTGGCCCTGAAAGCAAATGTAAATAATTCTAGCTTTGCGTGTTAATTTATAATTCTATGCCCTCGTTGCAATTATCACAAACGGGTGACAGATGAAGGTAGCCTTAAATGACTTTGAGCTGAATTTTCTTTGCCTTTTTTGTTAATTTCAGTCGGAAAAGACCCAAAAATATATGTATATCCAACATAGCAATAATCTTCAGTGCAGAATAAATATGTTAAGCTCCAAATAGACTAAGTCATCTGCATTATAATGTTACTCTAGCATCATTATCTAAGTTCTTGTATTATTTCCATTTAGTCGTCTTACACGTTTTTTCTGTTATGCTTTAACATCCTCCTTATTTCGGTTTACCATTTTCGCTCTATTTTCCTCTGCAAGCCCAAGGCCTCCGAGGCTGAATTCAACAGGGATATGGCTGCCCTTTGGCTGGTATCTCGCAAGCACAATTCATAGTCCTTATCTGGGGTGGCGGTCAAGCGTGGAGCTTCCATTAGCAGATAGAGGCAGCGCAGGGATATTGGACCACTGCAATTGGCCAATTGATCGCCAATTATTTCACGCGGACTAACCTGCTGAAAGCTCGAGCACTGAAGGCATGCCTCGCAGATTAGTGTGGAGGAGCAACGCGTTTGAGGATTCACCACACGAAACTCCCTTGTAAAAAGATTAAAATGTTCATGTAATAAACAGAGTTTTTATTAAAAACTGAAACATGACAGACAAGATGTCTGGATATAGACTTGAATAAAAGTCACTAGCTGTTTAAACTATATTGGGTTAAGCGCCTGAAATGTATGATCATATTTAAGTTAACAAAAACTGGTCGAACGATTACTTACTTAAACTTATATTCAGGCCACATTACCAATGAATTTGTCCGCAATTTTTTAATGATAATATTAATAAATGAGCACACAATTACTTAGGCTGGCTTAAGAACATTCTATAGGGCGGCTGAAGCTCCCAAAAATATGCTTTATGACTGAACAGTTAACTGATACGGAAGAGTTAACTCCAATTGAAGTGGAGTTTCATCCACTGGAAATAATGATTATCATAGATCTTTCGTATTTTGTAATAATAAGTAATCAAATTTAGTATACATTTATAATCAGGTCATAGTATAGATGTTGAGTCAAATTGAGCAATGCTGCATGATACTATTATACTACGCGTTACTAGATGCTTTTTAGGCAGCCATATTGTCGTTGTTACTATTTTCAAACACCCAGTATATTGAAAAAAGACTTGAGGACATTTGTGAAAGATGAACTAAAATGCTTATACAAGAAGTTTCTGTGGCCTAATAATCTTGGTAGAAAGATGTTTGCTTGGATTTGAAAAAAGTGAAAACATTATATTAATCGAATGCAGGCAAGGTCAACAAATTAGCTCTACGATTGAAAAGTTTTGCTTTTCAATCGATGCTACTCAATAGTTTGCAGAACAGACCCTTGAATCAATTGGCTTTTTGATTGACACGGTAAGTAATTATTGCTAGGACTGAATATTAATAAAATTATTGTGACGTAATGCTAAGCTAGTGGCGACTAAGCATGTACAATCAATTCCTTAATTGGCAGTTTCCACTCGAAAATAATTCAATGTTTAATGCAGATGTTTTTATTTCATGTGTTATGTTTTATGGTGAATGTAGGAAATTGAAACGAATCTATCAAGTAAAAAATTTTCTTCTGTACAGACAGGGACATGAACACTGAAGCTATTTGACACGGCAGCTAAAATTAATAAATGCTCTAACAAAATAATAGTGCCAGGTAACAAAATATGAGAATAAAAATGGATTTAATTATGCAATCAAAGCATATTACTATGATTAATGTTAATTATATTGTTTCAATGTTACAATTTAAAGCCCAGTCTACGCATTAAGAGAAAAACTTAAGGAAAAGCAACTTATTTAATTAAACACAAATTATGCAATTTGCATCATTTTTATACCAAAATCATAATTTCTGGTACCTATGACATTAAACGCTCAAAATAAATTATTTCGTAACCTGCGTAAAATATAATTAGGAATTAAATGTGAAGTACATTCTCTAAGACGTAATCTTCATTTAGCAAATGAAGCTGCCATCAAATGTTGTTGTTTACCACAGTTTTAGCCAGTTTTAGTACTCATAATTTGTTGTGAATAGATACTATATAATTCAGCCTTTCTTTTATGATTGTTTAACGCTCATCCCTGAAATTTCTTGTGACAAATTATTCAAGAAACGAATTTCCTGCCAAAAAAGTATTCACAATTTAAAATCGTATGAGCAAGTTTTTTTTACAAATTTCGTATACACGTAAACGACACATATTAATTTTAAGAATGAGTATTATGCTCGGGACCGCAAAGAAGCCGGTAAAAAAATTCCATTTGTATATGCCTTTCATGCTTCTCGCATTCGATGAAGTATGTTTATATTTCTTATTCATGCAGTGCAAACAATAGTGAATCAATGGCAATAACTCATGCATGTGAATTAGCTGTCTATTCATAGAATACTAACGTTAGAACATCGATTGCATTTTGATATTTTATGCGACATGGGAGATTAGAAGCGCAATACTATAATCAAGGGCACAGCACACGAAGCTTTCTACATGAATAAGTAAACTTTACATGTTCACGAGGGTATATTTTACATTAATGGAATTAACAGATATAAATTCAGGCTCCCTAATTTAAGGCTCAATCTTACAATGTACAATCGAAAATGCTTCATATGTTCCTAATGATATATTTTGTACAGAAGATCGGGCAAATTTCCCAGTTCACGTTAGTGAAGCTCATAAGTAAGATGTTCGTGGGTGAATATTTTTCATGTTAAATCATCAGATAGCAATCAGCGGAGCTAAACGATCAGTCTGCGCTAGAATTAATCATAGTATCAGAAATCATTAATAATGAAAAAAGTGCGCAATAAATTAGATTATGAGTAGTACAGTACGAAGCTTCGTCCATCATTTCGTCCATCGTTTATTCTAACTGCCATTATATTAACAACCATTGATCGTCGTTTCAGCAGTAAATTTGTTATATAGTTGATTCAGTTTTAGTAAGTCATAAATTAATCTACCAATTCAATTGAGACCTGTTTCATCCAGTCGTTCTTTTGATGGATGACTAAAACAGATTTTTGACCATACGATTCGATAAATTTTATCGCGCAAAGTGTGTGAATTATTTACGGCATAAGAAAAAATTATGAGCGTCGTTTATTCTAACTGACATGATATTGTTCATCAATTACCATAGATCGTGATCAGAATGCAGATCGTGTGATAAATCACCGAACATCCTACACTAGTTATCGTAATGAGACTTGGTCAATCGTTCAAATTATTTCAATAAAATTACCGAAAAATAGGGAAACCAATTCAAAAATATTCCAACAATCTTCATAGCCTAATTAACTTTACGATGGCAGATCTTTTATTATGATATAATTCATTACAATAACAGCTATAATTGAGAAAAATTCTTTAATGAATGTAGGGTTGCATTGATTTCGTTTGTTCTTCTAGGATTAAGAGATTCGGATGAGCGGTCGCAGTTGCAATTACGACAAGCCCATTGGTATTACCGAACGTTTACTTGCTAAGGTGTATCTAAGGGTTAAAAAGTTCTATATCACTGAAGTCATTTCTCCCCTTGCGATAGGGAACATTCACCTTATAAATATTCACCGCTAACGTAAGGTTTCCTCAGAAGGCGGAAGGCCTGCGAAGGAATGAGCGGATTTGTATTTCAAAGTACGAGTTTCTTCATCCGGTTAATAACTCTTAAGGTTAACCAGAAAGTATAAATGAATGAATCGTGAATATTATTCCTTCCATTCCTCCTGGACTTTCCAGCTTCTAAGAACTTGCCTTAACTTTACACCTACTTACTCGTCACTCAAGGTGAGGCAGAACCTACGTAACCGATCACCGATCACAGCTTAGTTTAGCTACATGTTCACATTTCACGACGTTAGTGTTTGTCTTAGTTCATTGAGCAGCGTTGATCAAAAATTCAGCAAAAATTCTTCGAGGAATTAGGCGCTGGAATGATTCTTCGAGGAAAAATTCGAGGCGCTGGGCTGAGAAATCTACGTGGCCGACATACGTGCCTTCACTTGGCACGTTTGACTGATGACGTTTGACTGATGGCGTTTGAATGATGACGTGAGAATGATGACGTTTGACTGGTGACGTTCGACTGATGACGTTCGATTGAAGACGTTCGACTGATGACGTTTTACTGGTGACGAGATACACCCGCGTCGGGGCTAAAATCTTTAGGCCTCCAAATCTTTTTTTATTAGTTTTTATACATTATGTTCAAATAACAAATATATCAGCCAAAAGTTTTGCCTCCATTGCGGTTCATAATTCCAAATTGTTCAAGATGACAGCTTAGCAGTCTTATGTTTACCATACTAGTTAATATACGATATCAAATAACTATTTTTCTTTAAAAGTGATTTTTAAATAACTTAAAAGAAAATAAAATGTCGAAATGAAAAAATCGAGCAATTAAAACGGAAAATGGTTAAAATGCTTCTCACAACTCATAATCAGAATTTCGTCTAAAATGTAATTAAGAAATCATTCGATCGTCAAGAAAATGAATAGACATCAACTGAGATCTATTCTTGCAGCAAACAAAATAATTTACCGCAACCAAAGCCACGTTTGAAATATGTAAATTTACTTTGCTCGTATTTCGTTACAATTAATAGAAGGAATACGACGCTCAATCAGGTTCTCAGTTGCAATTCAAGGCGGGACTTTCCATCCTGGAGTATGAGCCCTGAGCGCTGCTCGATCTGTCCGGCATGAGTGCAGCGCTCGTCGCAATCTTAAACGACGTGTCAGATGCCACCTTCAGTGACGTGTTCAGCCACAGTCATACGAGATGTCCCATTGCGCCTCATCTGTGGAAGCGCCACGAGCCCATCGTGCCCACGCATCGGCCTGCAACAGGTCATTTTGATTATTTGCTTTGTAATTAAATCGTAAAGCGGCACTTATCATGGATCATGAATGCAGTTCAGCAGTTCATAGGTGTAAAAATCGTGATAAGCACTTATCATTAATCGTGAATGCAGTTAAGCAGTTCATGGGTGTAAAAATCGCAAAGTGGCACTTATCATAAATCATAAATGCAGTTCAGCATTTTATGGGTGTAAAAAAACTGAACACTGTCAGCGTCCAGCTTCAGTGAAACTGTCTTTCAATGAAAAATTCATTTCTTCGCTCTTGGGTCGTTGTTCGAAAAAAAGATTCGTCGAGTGAGTTTTTATACAAACAGCGGATTCAGTGAATGTTGAAAATGGGAATATTTCGCTTCGTTGAATTTCAGTAAAGTTTGTTAGAATGTTCTGATAACTCATAGATTCTGACTGCATGAATTTCTCAATATATATTTGACTGCAGAAGCAACACAAATCGACCAAAAAAACACTTTGAGGGGAAATAGATTCGAAATTAATTAAAGAAAATGCATTAGTCTCACCGTCTTCAGTGAAGGTCGCCAGGCACAATCTGTCGAGCTTGTTGCTCAGGGTCGAGTCTGGCACTTCTTTGCGAGAAACCGTGGCCAGTGGCACCAACACGTCTGTTTTTGTTGTGCTCATTACATAAATTTATAAAGCCGAACGTTATACACTTTGTTAGATAATCGTCAGGCAAAGAGGATTAAAGTTTCCTTATTCAAAATATTTGGAGTTTTAAATGACCTATGTTGACCACTTCATTCAAAATAAATTTATTTCTTTTTAATGTCTGCTTAAAAATTACTTAACGGTATAACAAAAATAACGTATTGGGATATAACTGCAGGACTTGTAATATTAAGTAGAATCATTTATCAGTGATATATTGAATCGTTTTCTACAGATTGAATAGTGATAAAATGTATAACGGAAATTGAATAATATCAGTGACATATCGAAAGGTTATCAAACACAATAATGCTAGATATTAACCCTCTACCGCCGTATGGCACTCTCAGGGAACATAACTTTTAACTTAAATTATACGTAAACTATTGAGTGTAGCAACCTGAGGACGTTTGTACGCAACAGAGAACATTGTAAAGTTGTCGCCCATTGCGGCAACCATCAGTGCAAGTCATTTTGCGCTCACTAAAACATATCTTTTTGGGAAGTAGGCTTGTGACAACATTGCTCCGGTTACTCATGTCAGGCGGTATAGAGGGTTAAGATTCAGATAATTCACGAGCGTGTCTAGAGCCCCGACCGTCAACATCGGTGGCCTGATCCAGCATGTGCCCATCCAGGTCATCAGGGTACAGCGCTGCACGACGCTTGATGTCCTCTACGAAGCTGTTGATGAGGGCGTCCATCATGACGGCCTTCCATCAACCACATCGAAGAGCAACATTAATATCAAGGCATCAAGCTATTGTAGTGACTATATAAAATATCTAAGCATTGCAACGCATTACCAGGTTATGAAAGCTTTTCGGCTTTCATACCCTTAAGATTGAGTGTCCATGTGACTATTTTGTGTGAAAAATTCATCAACAACGGGGTAAAGCACAAGATAAATGATTAAATTTGTAATTAAATTAAAATACCAATAATTTATCTATTAAAGCGACCTGTTAGAGTTAGGATTAAATGTGCCTCGTCGAATTAAAATCAATAAAAAAATGCTTATCTAAAAACACCGAGCACGAAAACAAAACTTAGAAACATTTGTGTTCATACCTGCTTAGAAAAAATCTGCAGCACTTTAGAAAACCGTCTTGCGCCTTCGACCACCGCGAACTGCAGGAAGAGACACGGCATGGAGTCGCTGCTCCAGTCGTTGCTCGGCTGTGCAAACTCCCACGAGAGCTCGTCGTACCGCAGCGATAATAACACAGTCTGCAAATTTAGTTTCAAACTTTGTCCATTCGTTCAATATTGAAATAATTACATATTATTTGATGTCAATCTATATTATAATTTAAATGTACATTTTCAAGTATAAACTTCGTTAATTTCCTTCTTCAAATATTTACATCGTCACCTAACTTCGTCATATATTTACTTCGTGACTGCACTTCTTCAATATATAAAAATTGCCTTCTTCGTCACTTCTTCGGCAAAATATGTCTTCTAATATTCTGTATTGAAGATTGAATGCTGAAAATTTTACCACATTCTGCCATTACTGACTAAAAGTCTGTAGAAAATTACAACTCTAACCGAGTTGTTGTGGTCTACCACCGAAACTCCGGCCCCGTTGATGGCCACCAGCACCGGCACGTCTGGTCGCGGTAACCATAGCGACGTCCCTCGTCGGGGTACCTCAATTTGCCCGTGGAAAAAGGCACTCCTGAGACAGCAATGAAAATATTAATTTTTCTGGTATAATTCATAGACATTCATCTTTTAGCTGAAATGGCACGATGTAAACATCTGGCATTTGCCTAACTAACTACTTTAAAATGATATATAGTAATTAAGACCTGAAACAGTTCCTACCAGGATTACAGTTTTGTTTGCAATACTCACAACAATCTCTGAGGAAAAAAGTCCCGGCATTAAAAATAACATTAGCACGAAATGACATCAGCACGAAACCCGTCATAGACGTTGTCTCATTATGAAGAAAAAGACAGCCATGTGTGCATGTCTAACATGAATTTGCTGCATCCTGAATGCAAAATTAATTGACGGAATGAAAATTGATGAGACACAAAACGTTATAAAACTACCTCTAGTTACATCGGTCACATTTAACTATTCTTCAGGAACAACGAATTGAAAAAAAAATGACCCAATTCAAATTGAGTACCTACAGAGCATCTTCAAGGACCAAGAACGTAATTTACATTGCCTGTATTTCCTCTGGGCTGTCATCACACTATAACCTATATCACAGGACGGTTATAGCAGAGTCCCGAAAAAAAGATATTCACGCAAAATGGAAATCAACACAATGGGATAAAAATGAATATTAGTCGCCGTTAAAATATCCCATCTTTATCTTGGGAGTCCTTGTGAGATTATACCTGTAATCTAGGAATTTTGAAGTGTTGGGAATTCTACCTCTTCTAGTGGTGACAAAGGTTGTAAGTCAAATTCTGGGAGCAATTCAAATTTCCCATGCATTCATTATCATGACACTAGCTTCTTTCAAAAAGTCTAATTTCTTGCAAAAGCGATTAAATGTTTACCATCACCTGGCAAACTCTCTATATTTCTTAATATCTGAATACATATATTACCCGTAGTAAGGCAGAGACCAGCAGAACTCCAAGTATTTGCGGGTAAGTTTGCGGCACTGTACGTTGTTGGGTATGGAGCGGAACTGCTCGATGATGCGAATCTCCGGCGTGCTCTTGCTGTTGAAACTGACGAGGTCGCTGAGCCTGAGGCGGCACGCGTGGTCGGGGAGGTAATCCAATAGACGCCTCCTGGAACCCGAGGAAGAAGTGCTGACGGTTTAATGGTGAATGCAGTATAAAATACTTAAATTTTATTAAATCATTTTCAGCTTAGATTTAATACCATTAATAATTATTTACCGTAATATTAACCTACTCAGGTTCGTTAGTCATCGACAATGCAATACATGAAACAAGTTTGATGATATATCTAAAATTATTTTCAGTTTAGATTTAATATCATTGATAACTATTTAACGTAAGATTAATCTATAGATTTGTTAGTTACCGGCAAAGCAATACATGAAACAAGTGTAATGATGTATCGAAAATGTTCAGTGTTTTATTTTTCAAATTCTTAACTTAATATTTTGCTATTGTTAATTGAAAACTACGCAATGGAAAGAGAGTTCGGATTATGACCGCACACAAATAGAATGATACACTAAACTGTCATAAATATGTCGATTCTTCTGAATGCTAATGCCTCGAAATTATTTCGATTTTATAACATCCAAGTCAACAAACACAAACGGCTTCAACCGTCGTATAGTTTCCAATGAAGTTAAAGTGACTTAAATCTAGTTACCTGAAGCCCCATCTTGATGTTTTTAGACATTAACTATAATTATAGCCTCCTGATCTATAAATTTTAACGTATATGTATAGTATATCACTCCAAATATTTTACGTAGAATGAGTCATCAAAAACGGATATTGGTCATTATTTTTTTTTTAATTTCCTAGCGTAAAATATTCGGCAAATAAAGAAGTCTCTGGACTGTAAATTTAAATTGAGACTCTTATTTTTAGTAGATTAGTAGATATTTTCACAATTCGGTCAGTAATTCTCATCTACGTTATAACACTAATATAGAAGCATTCACTTGTTTCCGAAAAATCCCTCAAAGTTTTCCCGGCAACTAAAACTTGTGAAGCCTCACCTGAAGAATGATGGCGTGTGGCTGTTGTGGTCGTAAGGCCCGAGTTCGAGCCTCGCTTGTATACCAGCCAGCATTTCATAGTCAAGAGACTCACACGGATACCGAGCAGCAAGCAAGTTCCATTTGGCCTCCTCGTACAGCAACTCGAGGACTTTGCAGTCCCGTATCTTGACTTCCTCTCTCTTGGTGAAGAAAATGTTTCGTCTGAGGACAATTTTCGGCTCATGAGCGTGTCTCTCGTCCCGTGCGCTAAGGGACGTTGGACCGAAGCGTCTGAGAAGCTCTGACCAGTGGCGGCGCACTTCAAGTGGCCGGTGGAAGGGCTTTAGTTGAATCTCTGAAAAAAATACATGATATTAATTTTTTTGTGAGGCGTTAACGAAAGACATGAGTCGGTATCTAAATATTGAAAATTACATTTCTTCCACGAAGACAAAAAATATAATTGTTCTACACAAATCTTGCCATGTTAAAGGTTTTCAGAGGATATTTTGTAGCACTCTCACAAAAAACTATCCTGGTGTTGCGGATGTGCACTCAATTTTACTAGAAATACAAAAAAAATTCGAGTTCTGAATATAATTTCTCATGTTGAAATATGTATGATTGAGAATATATATACTCAATTGTATTTACTCTCGTTGGCTCAGTAAAAATTGTAACTCTTATTGTGTTATTCACAGTAAATCCATCTTATCAAAGTGTAGTCAATAATTGATTTTAACAAATTTAATACTAAAATAATGAAGATTCTCAATATTACTGATATTCACCGTTCTTTCGGTAGAGCGAATTGACTCCTTCACTTATTCTTTTGCACCGTATCTTTCTGGCAACATGTTGATATTATTATTTTCTTAATATTAGAATAATTTTTTAATATAATCAAGCTTTTACTTAAAACTACGATATTTTTATCTACTATACAATTCACCTAACAATGGAGACACCATCCAGATCGCAAAGACCTCCATCGCTTGTTTGGGCAGGTTCATTTCCTCCTCCTCGATGATGAGCGCCAGCAGCTCTCTCGCTGTCACTCTCATGCCGTCCTCTAGTCGAAGTCTTATGGCCAAGCGCGAATGTAGGTACACGCAGGCATCCACGATGCTTCCGCTTGGACTTACTGAACAGTTTTGTCCGTTTTTATTGACAGCGTTGATGATGCAGCCGCCCTGGGTGGACGTGTTGGTTGTGCTATTGCTGTTTACGCTGCCTCCGCTATTGCTGCTGGTGCTAGAATTGTTGGCTGGAAAATAAAAATTTTATTTTTAAATTAAGTTCACGATGGTTTGAATATCTCATTTAACTACAATATTTTTTGAAGACAATCACAGGTTATCAAGCACGATCTTCTCCATAATGAAAGAAAAACAGACTATCTGTTAACGAACTTTTTGTTTTGCGATCAATTTCGGGCTTCGCAGAAACTTTTTTCTCGCCGGAATCGGAATCCGAGTGTCCCGACACTTGCGACGAGTGTGCGTGGCCGTGGGGACCCATGTTGTGTGGGTTGCCCTGCCCTGTATTGACGACCGCAACGTTGTGTGGGTGGCCCATGTGTGGTGTGTGTGGTGTATGTGGTCGCCTCTGAAGCGTGGCGGTAGGGTGAATAGGCTGGCCACCAGGACCTGATGGATGTCCCATAGGACCGTGCGAGTGGACATTTGTGTTCGGTTTGTCCCCTTTCCCGTCGATGCCCATTTGGGGGACCTCGAAGGCCATAGGTCCCATTCCCGGGTAGTACATTGGAGACGAGGAAGTCGAAGATGTTTTGTCAAGATGATCTGTGCTTCCTTTGTAGTCTTTGGCTCGGAAGAAATCACCTGATGCCCTTTCCCTTAGAAATTCCCTGAAAATGTAATCAGAATCATTCCTGGATATAAATGTATTCATTAATTGTATAAGATAGGGTATTTTTCAGGTACTCCAAGCGAGGAAATTTATAAAAAAACGTAATCCTTAGAAGCAAAAATATCCTGTAATGACTACAAAAACTTATGAGTAAGAAAAATAAATTAATGAACTAATTAACAATTGCATGCGGCCATTGTATTAGATTCAATCCTCATATACTATCAAATTTAGGGTACAACGAAACCATGTACCAAAAATATTGTATGATGTTACAATTCAATAGTGTTATTCATATAAATTTATTTGAACTTTGCGTCATTCGACAACGTCATGGTACAACGTCATGGTACAACGAAATTGCGTCATGGTACAACGAAACCATGTACCAAAAATATTGTATGATGTTACAATTCAATAGTGTTATTCATATAAATTTATTTGAACTTTGCGTCGTTCGCCAGAAAAAAAGATCGATGTCATGAAAATCACTTTCGAATTTATATTGCATTAGCAGCAGGAATAAATATAATTTACTCGTCAAGTAGAACGTCAAGAAAAATATATCTAAACAAGCGTAGAAATAAAAACGTTGAAAATAGCTACTAAAGACTCCAAAGACCAATTAAAAACGTCGAAAAAACTCAACTCGGCAATTTCACACCAAGAGCTACCACGTACATCACACACAGCCAATATAATTACTCAGTACGTCATTGAACTGAATTAAAGAGAGGGAGTAAATCTTAATTGCAATGCAGACATAGCGTACATCATTTAAATTCTATGTAGAACTCCGAAAATAAACGATATATTCCGCAATTTACGGCGAAATGGGAGCTAAAACTACAGAAACAGTGCTAGGAAAAGCAATATGAAAAATTAATCCATCACAATATTTTATCATAATTATCCATTATTATAACTATTATACCATTCGAATTTATATTAATTTAAAACAATAGATTCATGTGATTCATGAAAAATAAGCTGCAGCAATAAATAACTTGACTTCTATCTAATTCCGTGGGCTGCTAATTTCTAACACCGTAGGCAAGCATGACCGTGAACATTAAAGGCTAGAATTTTTCAATTTTATATGGTTTGAAATAATTTATATTCAATAAAACAACTTAATTTATTTTATATTTTATTTATTTAGATTTTTCTATTTTTACAGTTAAGCCGAAATCGCTATAAATAGCTTAGTTGCAATTCAAGGGTCAATATTGAATTAATTTTTAGCGTCACTTCTAGAATAACACAAACAGTACAATAAAAAAAGTGTCAGGCCGTTTCTATAAACTGATGGGCGAGTATTAGTGTAGTATGGTAGTTTCGGCGGTGAAGAAATAGGCCCATGGCCTGTTTCCGACTATATTACTTTTCGCAGCATGTTAACAGGCAATCTAAATCTATATGACATGAAACCTTTCCCTGTTTTTAATTGATAAAATTAATTCCTTTTTGTTGGAATGGTGAGTGTGGGAGATCTAAAAACTCGCCTTTTAACCAGACCGGTTCAAAACTGTCGTTGATTGGAAATATATGCAGGACTTTTATTTGGTCCGTAAGGTGCTAGGCATTTGAAGACTGAACATACGACTTAATAACTTTTTCTAGTTTTTTCGTAAACGCGTTCATAGTCGGAGCGTCAACGGTGTCGTAAGGGAGGCTGTTCCACATGTCGGTGACTCGAAGCGAGAAGAAATGTTGTCGCTTGGATGATTTGCAACAATTTTCCTTGCAGAGAATAAGAATAACCGTTTGAAAAGGAAATCATAAGTTTTCTTATTTTTCGTTTTTACAGTTGATAATGAAAACAATCATGAAAGCGGAAATACTGCTTATTGTGAGACGATTCTCAAAGTCCATATTATTTTATTAAACATGGAGCATTATGTATAAAATAAAAACAACAAGAACTGAACTGCACTTTGACTGAAAATTTTTTAATGTTCGTATTCTGAAGCGTATAATAAAGACCATCACGATGAGAAAGCTCGTGAGCGAAAATATCAAGTTCCTTGACACTGTTTACTCCCCAATCGAATTTTTTTTAGAAACAGAATACAATAAAGGCTGGATTTTTGCCTAATAAGCCTTTTGCATGTTCCTGAAGCACAAAAAATTAGAAATAAATCAAATTCCAGACCAAACTTTTCAGAAAAGTCTTCAAGTCAATTTTGATGGCAACAACTGCAGATACAAATTTCCATTTAAAATTAACATCTGCAGATACAAATTTTAAATTAAATACTATGGCATTAAGGGATCATCAGCGCGAGAACTTCTTGTTTCAAAACGCAGCAGTAGTAAGTAAATTCGGAATAACAGCTAACTCATCAAGTTTTTAAGTAAATGAGAATGATTATTTTTTTGAACTAACGCAAAATGAATATTGTCAGTAAGAATCAGGAAAGTTCGAATTGGCTGCTCTATAATATTTTAATCAACAGATATCTTGATTAACACATTATCTAAAGAAGCAGAAGTGCCTGCCTTGAAAAACCTAGCGAATGAGTTCAAGAGGTCATAAGTTGATCTTTATAACGGCATATAACTGATGCCACATAATTGAAATAGTGCGCAATATTATATCTCTTAACATGACTTAATTTATCCTGGTTGTGTTTTGCTCTCAGGAAATGATGCATAAATGCAATAAAATTAAAAGCCGCATTTACCGGTTGTTATGAACGTGAAATGAACATCAGTATGCCTACATTTGACCACTTCATATTGCCGTTAATGGGACAAAACTTGTAATAAACAATAACAATTGATCTAACGGTAATAAGAAGATTTGTGAAAAATTTAGTCGTGACGGATGCTACAGCCGGCATCAAATTGTGCCTGGCGTTCAAAGTTTTTGCGGACTAGAAAATACGGGGACGTAATACATCAGAATATTCGATAATCTCCTTACGTCATCGGCGTAAATAGAGAATTTACGAGAACTTACGTAATCTATTTACGTAAATAATGTACTAATAATATAATAATACTAATTTAATAATAATAATGTAATAAAGACGTAATCTATTTACGTCATCGATAATTTACGTCATCGACGCAGAAAGTTCATCAATTATAATCGGAACTTTTGTCGCTAGAACGCGCGGAACAGAGCCCAGAAACGCACTCGTGAGCTTGTCCCGTGGAAATACAATCCTTATGAATAACACATGGGCTGTGACTTAACATTGAAACGCACTCGAAAGAAAATCTAAATAGGAAAAATTGTATTTTTAATAAAGTTAAGACAGCCATAACCAAGGAAAAAGTAAACTTTGGTAGTACATAATGGAAAATAGACAAATGCATACGGTTCAAATTATTAAAATATTGATTGATATAAGTATTCGTCATATAAAAAAAAACAATCATACCTATCCTTGCAAAATATCGAAATTATAAAGAAGCGAGTTGATGAACTGAAACGTTCAACACCATATCTCACACCACGTATTTTTTTCTAAAAAATCACATTACGTAATTTTTCTAAAAAATACATTTATAAACAGTATATTTAGTTATACTAAAGAAAATAAGTAAAATGCAATAAATTGACTAAATTATAAGATTTTGAATCAATAGAGCTCAGTAATGTACAATTACATATATTTAACAATAGCTTCTAATAAAGAAGCCCGATCGCTTCAGTTGTTTTGAAATGAATACAGCAATTTAATATAGCATCAACACAACAGATCAATGTGTTAGCAATTGTTTTATGTGATAAAAATACTTATAATATAATATCAATATCGGTTTCAGTGATGTTTAGGTCGTTAGACCTGTCGCCGATTCCAAACATTGCACGACATTCACAGCTTGTTGCGGTCTCGAACACGCAACTCACTTCCAATTTTACGTTGCTTAAACCGCTCGTCCTCCTCACCAATTCTGACCACAATTATTGCACAGTCCTGGGATCGAACCCGTACCTCTCTGCTCTAATTCTGATACTCTGAACTGTAACCAAAGGGCCACAATATATAATTCATATGTTTTGTATTCTGTATAGGAATTTTATTTACCTGGAAATGGTAGCAGAGCGCGGGAAGGCCTCGTACTCCGGGTTGGAGGGAGGGGCTTGAGGCCCGCCATAGCGCGATGGTTGTTGCTGCAGCCTGGCACCCTGGCCGTGGTACTCGACAGGGATCACTGTCACGTAGTTATGACTGCCGCTACTGTCACTCTGGTGGCCGCCGCGCTCTGCTCCGACCAGACCAGCTTCTTCTTCGTCGAACCCGTACTCGCTCATTGCTTCGTGGCACCTGGGCTGTGGAGGCATTCACAATTAGATACGTAATATTTAATCTAAACTAACAGATTGCAGAGCATTTAATCTAAACTAACAGATGAACAGAGCATCGTGCATCAGGTGGCCCAAATGAGGGCGGATGAACGATAATCAGAGGCGGCGATCCATCGTGGCCTGGGACTGCTATGTCCCAAACAAATACTAAGGATACTAAGGATTGAAATACACTGTCATGATTTGTTTTTCCAGGTACCAAATTGTCGTACAAACTGCTTTCCTATTACTTCATCGCTCAGGATATCTGATGATTAAAATCACATTACGACTGTGCGAACAAATTTCTAGGGTATTCAGTACCCACATGCAGGTAATCTTAATTGTTATTAAATTTCTGGACAATTTACTCGCTTCCATCCAGTAATCTGACGTTGAATCTCTGTTGAATTAAAACGTTGCTTCAACGTCATTAATTTTGTCTGTTGTTTTATTGCTGCATTATTCAAGAGGTACGTTACTTTTTCAAGAGATTATAATAAAAGTTATCTCTTCTAAACTAATGATATGAATTAGTTTTGGGGTGCATGATCAGCTAACTCGTGGAAGCTTAATTGACTAATATTAAGACTCAATTGACAATTACTATTAATAGGAATAAGATAATCAATTAATAGGAATAAGATAAACACAATTTGAACGTAGTAACAACCATTGATTGAGTAACGATACCCATGTATCGGTCAAGGCTGTTTAATTCCATAAATCAACATTAGTGTTAATGAACTGCCTGATCACAAAAAAAAACTTGGTATCACTCTTGAATAATTGAAATTTTATTAAATGATCCACGAAAACATAGGATTAAAAGTTGAATGACGAACGCAGGGCAAAATATTCAGAGAAAATGCATAATTTACTATGGTATGTTTTCTAGGCAACTTTAATTACTAAAAATAACGGGAAACTTCCAAGGTCTGTGAAAGAAAAGCAGCTTATCAAAATTCCCTTGTTGTTCCAATCATGGAGAGAAATGCCAGTGGATGGAGTTATGCCCGTTAATGCAAATGCAATAGCAAATGCAATAGCTACTACTGTATATCATATTTTTGAAGTAACATTAACGACAACAGGCGTACGTGTATTAAAAATTCATGGAAAAGATCCTAAATATCTTGAATAAATACATTCTTGGAATTTTCCAGACCGTGGAAGTGCACGTCTTTCACGCGGATTCTTTCCCCATCTGAAACGAGATGATGTTATTTCCCGTCGCTGAACATCCACCTCTCACGCCCCAAGAGGCAGAGCAAGTAAATGAGATTTCATATCTGATTCAATAAAAAAACTAGTCGGAAATCAACTTAATTTTAAAATGCTTTTCAACGTGCAACTTGTCAATGTTGCCCGAATTTTCCTCAACCCATCACGTACAGGATGAGGACTTTGTCAGTCCCAGAGCACCCTTCCATTCGAAACGAAATGACATGCCATTTTTCGAGTACACGTTGCCAGTCGCATACCGATTTCTCATCATCGCCATTGAAAAGCTTTCAAACGCGGTAAATTTCAGCCGATATTAAAGATCTCTGCGTCGCTCACATGGCGAGGAATCGAGACGTCGGCTGTCGAGAATTCGATAACAGAAAAAAAAATTAAATTGGTAAAGGTATAACTTAAGAGTTTTTTATTTTTAAACCGATGATAATGTTAACTCGGATGCTTCCGATAACTAGTGAAATTAAGAGGTTTTATAACTGAATCAACATTCTACTATGAAACTTTATTTCGTCCATTGTTTTGAACGAAATCGAAGATAAATTCTCATTTGATTCTTTAGCTTACAAATAAATTCTGATAATATTATTGCAAACTGAAATAAATGCACATATTCATTCACAATCGAGTTGCCTTACATTCCTCGCCATCCAGTCGTTCCAGAGCTTCGCTGGAAATGAAGCAGACAGCAGGGACAGATCTCGGACGCTCAGATCGCCGCTGGAATGACTCAAATTCTCAAGCACACTGTGTGTTCCTTTTGCATCCAAATCTTCTAACTCGTGAATCTTTTCGCGATCACTTTCATCGAGAACTCTGCGATTGCTCTCGGTGTTATCTTCCACTTTACCAGATTGACTTTGTCGAAATGATCCCGTATTTGGGTCTAAAAACGAGTTTTGAATGGACACATTGTCCTCAGAGCAGATTTTGGTCGCATTTTTGTTCTTCATCTTTGCGCATGCATCCCGATGTTGCACCTGTGTTTCGTGAAGATAATTGATGAAGTTTTCTTTGTTATCTTCAGAGAAATTGGATTTTACATGGTCTCTTGCCTCACTTGATTCTGATATCGTAACTTTAGGTGAATGTCGCTGAAGCTGGTCAACTTCAAACATGTTAGCGTCAACCACACTGCCATCCGATGAGCTGCATTTCCAATACTCGTCGAGCCACGAAGATCCTGTTTTATCGCCTCTAAGTTCGGCCGTCTCCATGTCCAACACACAACACTTGGCATTTACATGAGTCTGTTTAGGTTTTAGAGCAGTTTCCAAATGATCCTCGTTCTCAACTTGTTCTGAGTAGAGAGGGTTTGGTTTCAATGAACCTTCTTTCTGAGAAGTAGAGAACTCTTCTATTGCACTGATTTTCGTAATGCTTTCTCTATGAGATTTTGAAAAGATAAAACGCCGTCTTGCAGGAATTTCTGGTGAATCGCAGTTTTTGTTCAATTCATATTCAATATTGCATTGTGGACGCTTTGACAATTGCGAAGCATTTTGAGTTCTCGAGAAATAGCTGGAAAAAAAGTTGGATTTACTTCTATTAACATCACTAAAAGTTTTTCGCGACATATGTAGTCCAATATCACTTTTGAAATATGAGTCTTTCATACGGTTAAGTTTCAACCTCGGGCTTCCTCCAAAACTTGTATCAGGAACGTCTGAATAAAGCGAAGCAAAGAACCTTTCTTTATGGGACTTGATGCTTCTAGAAATGCTGAATTCGTCGTAATCTTTAGAATCACTCGTGCTGGACGGAATTTCAAGACTTATCACCTGATCTGAAGATCGTGAAGGATCACACAGCGCAGGATTTATGCTTTCCAAGACGATCCCTCGGCCTTCGGAGATTTCAGCAGCATTCGGCGAACTCGTTCCGCTTTCAAAAATAATTTCGTGTTGGGCTTCTGAGCTCTCCGGACTCGCATTCGAAGCTGTACTATTTATTCGGTGTTCAACCTCGTACTTGTGATCTGGGATGGCATCAGAACTGAAACAGCTAACAGATTGATAAATATTGTGTGATATATCTTGGGCTTCACTTTTTGGTTGGCAATAATCTATTCCATTAATTTCTTCGACAGTATCAGAAGTATTTTTAACAACGACATTTGTCTCTTGGGTAATTTTCTCGGATTCGTCAGACATTGGATAGCTATCAGAATATCCCTGCATGCGAGTGCTACGATGCAACTTACGTGAAGCACGCGATTTTTTTATCTGTCTATTTTGTTTTTCCATTTCGCGCTGCTCCCTAAATTTTTCTTTTTTAGTATTCAAACTCTCGTCTGAATCAGAGCTGCAAAAAAACGAGCCAACGATTCTATACGAATTCTTCCTTCTTGATTTATCACGATTCTTGTTGCGTGATAAAACTTCTTCTGACGCACTTCGAATATTTCTCGGGTGCGATGCCTCCTGACCAAACCTGAATTCCCGACGTTTACCAGACTTCGCCTCGAAAAGAGTCTCCAAACTCTGAGCTGATCCGTCGTAAGCCACGTTGCAAAAGCCACCGTCGTTGCTTCCACTTGCTTTATGAATGTCCTCGATGGTTTTCCAGCGCCCTCGAGTATCCACCAAGTTGCCTTGAAAAGCTCCGTGTGCCTCTTGTGAAATTGCGACGTTTGTTAAATTATCATCTTTCACAGAAATGTTATCCTTGACATCAGTATTGTGAACTACAACCGTCCTACAACTGGAAGCAGACGCCGTGTGTTCATCTAACATGATGTGTTTGTTGATGTTGTTATTTATCTGTTGATGATTGTTAATTTTCTCGCTAGGATAATAGACTGTCTCGTATACATTCTCGGGTATACCACTACCTTCAACAGTTTTCTGATGCTTCCGTGCTTTGGCGTAAAACTGTCGAATGATGCGCGATTTTTCATTTAATTCCTTAAGTCTTTTGGCAGCAACGACATCTTTTGGAGTTGTTTTGATAGATCCAGTGGGAGTGTAACGATTTAAATGAATTTTATGTTCATCTCCGCTGTGTGTCGACTTAGTTCGCTCATCTTCCAACGAAAATGCCTGACAGCTACCTTTCTGAAATACGCTTTTCATTTTGTAGCAGACATTCATCATTTACGCATATCAATTTATCTTTCGTTGCCTGCCGTGAAAACTTCGGTAAGCGTTATCAATTAATTTATTGAACCAAGAGAATTGTGAAATTTTAGCTATCCAAAATATTTTATTCAGCATTGTAGAACAGAAATTTTTGCCTAAACAACCAGCATAACGCTCATAGTTTCATTTTTCATTCTTTAAACAGTCACTAATTTGCAAATAATCAATATAGACGAAATCTTAATACGTTAATTTATAAATATTTTCCAGAACAAGAAACACGGCACTATCACGGCCAGCACATAATCGCAACAAACGCACATCATCAACTGCCGGAAAACTCAACTAATACCGGCCAGCCAGCGGTCCTCAATCCAGCTTCCACCCTGCAACATGACGACGCAGCCGTGCATGGACGTATATTGGGCCATTGCCGGCTCTGTTGCTGCTAAGTTTAGTCCGCAATGTTCGGATCCGATCCCAAAACAACGGAAATAGAAGCGGAAGCAGTTGCGCTAGTTCCATTGTCCTGAACATGGGGCGTCAACGCGGTCACACCGGAAAAAAATTGCCGTAGTTAAATTAGTGGGTTAACAAACATTCGTATGCAATAATAATTAAAGTTTGAAAAATTTTCAATTGTCGTGTAGGGCGGCTTGCTTATAGGTGCCGAAATACTTGTAGAACATCTCGCAAATAATTTCCAAGTCTTATAGTACATTTTCGCATAAATTAATTACTGAAGCTAGATGGTGAACTGAACGAGAAGGAAGTTTATTGAAAATTCTATTTTAATGGTACAACTTTTAGGATAAACATTATCTTATCACTATAAAGGATACCTTAACGTAACCTCGTCAATTGAAACATAAGTTTCGCATTTGCTTCGAGTTTAAAATTTTTAAAATGATGAAAGTTTACCATTAAATATTGTGCATACAACTCGATAACTATCCCCAAAATTACTCTGAAAAATAATCTCGAATTCCGGACAAATCTGATATTATGTAAATTTATAGCTGGAGACTATGTTTACAGCCTCCATCTTGAACCGTCAAAGAAATCTCGGTGTCAATGATTTTTTTTTTTTTTTGCATACCCATTGTTCTCTAATAGTTGGATTTGCATTTCGGTTTTTAAGTTACTAGTGGATGCACCTTGTAAAGTGTTCAGGCCTTGAAGGTTCATTATATGAGGGCGAGTATGATGTTCGTTTTGTAGCGCTTTGGATATTCAGTCATGTCGTTTAGTCCCTTTTTGACGTCAATGGATATCCGAGAAACTTACGAAACGAGTGAATTATTCTCAGCTCGTACCATTACACCGACGAAAGCGCGCTATTTCGTCTGAATTCGTAAATAAACATCAATAGTAAATAAAGTCCTGAAGCCGCTCGAAGTTCCGTTATGTGTTCTTCGTTCAGAACACCGACAGGAATGTCATCGATCAACTGTAAAGCTCAATCAGGCTTCATCTATGCGTCTAACAAACCTCGATTTTCGAGTTGGCACTTAAATAATTCAGCATGTTGGACCCACAGGACTGATTATGGCAACGCCTTCAACTCGACAAATTTTGTTATATTATTTCTTCTGATATTTGTTATTTTTATAATCGTTCATTGAGAAATTTCAAAAGGAATCTGGAAATTCCTGGCCAACCCTGCCTTGGAAGTTTTGTCGACAGTTGCTTCGTTTTTTTTCCTCAGCGTACCAGAATACAAATGAAATTAAAGAAAACAATAAAACTACATGATTTGTGACCATTCAAGGTACGTCAGTATAAAAAAGGTTAAGAATTGTGTGAAAATGAAACAGAGAAAAAGTATTTAATTTTACTAACACGAATTCTAATCGAACAATTGTATCAATTTAAAGAATAATAATTATTCAGTCAAGTGCAAACACCACAAAATATAAGCGACCATGCCAGATTCTCACCAATACATTGTAGCGTGCTGCAGCAGGCGATGTCTGGTCGTCAAAATGCCATGCCAGAGATCATTTTGTTAGTGAACGATATAACTAATGCTAACCGAGCATTAGTCACCAGCCTTGGTGACTACATCACCAGTCTTGCCTATACTTTCCTTGTGGTTGTATAGCTGTGTGCTTTCCTTGTGATTGTCCTCCTAGCACAGCGATACGAAAAATCTTGCAGGAAAATTATAACGTGACTCTAGTATTGTTTTCACTGTTCAGGCGTAAAATAAATTAGTTCATAGCAATGGTTACCTCTAACTTTTTATCGGGAACAAAAGGAAATATAACGAAAAAAATATGAAGCTTTTCAAAGAAACATTGTTCGTATCATTTTATACTTCTGATTTAGTCTTGTATTTTCTCTCAGAACTCCTGAACCTCCAATAGATCATTCAAACCTGTTATAATGACGAAATGATATTGAATTTCCTATTATCGTGCGAAGGCGCATCCCCTACAAAACATCTTGCCCTCAACTCATTTTAAAACACTCCTCGATACGATATTTTATAATAATGAACTATTATTGCATCAGCTGATCGAAAAATTCCCTAGCTTCACTTCGTATACAGCTAATAAACGATGAAAAATTGTCCTATTTAGTCGATCAGACTTCATCGAATTTCAAGAAAAACACAGTGCCATTACTGACACACAACAGCCTTGTGCGGGATATTGAAAATATTTCCTATGGAAACTCATTGCCACATAATTAAATTAGAGCATTTGAAAGGCCCTTCATTCACAACTATTATAAGTCACTTTCAAATGCAAATTAATTAACATTGTTATGATTATTGATCACAAATATACATGTTGAAGCGAAGCTACCCTCAGAGCGTCGTGGTGCGAGGCACTGAGCCTTCTTACCCTCGCCTGTGTCAGCTGCTAGATCCCCAATCAATATTCTTGGTGTCGGTAGTTGCTGGTGATCGCTAGCTGGAAATTCCTAAATGGACTATTCCAAGAATTTAAAAGCCTTAATTCTAATAACACTTATTCACTCAGATAAATCACGAAAAGAGAACTCAGCAAATGATTTCCCATCTAAATGCCTGATAAGATATAATTTCATGCTCAATCACAAAATATAGGACTTGACATTTTGAACTTATAGTAACTATAAAATTTATCTACTTCCGTACGACTTTAAAGTTTCATATATCATGACACTTTTACATGGACATTCTATAAAATTGTGTTGCATAATCTTATGAATATTTATATCGGAAGTATAAAAGAGACAGCTTCAACGTCGCTTTGAAGGACGGATAATTTAATATTCAATTTAATAACTTAACAAATTCTTTATCAATCCAGAGAAATATTGAAATACAAATATTTTGGTAGAAAATCACCTGCTAAGGGTTTGATTGTCTTCGGGCAGTTGTAGCTCATCTTCAATTCACATAATATAATCTAACATGACAATCAAATTGCTTTCAACTTCACCTTTTTGTTTCAGTACATTCTACACTCCAGTAATAGAATTCATGAAATTTTGAATTTTTCAAACATACATAAATCGGTAAAGCTGTTGAACGTATTACCTGTGAGAGACAGTGGACAGCACTTAATTGGCGCGAACCTCAGATGCGGTGGATTCGAATTTTCATGCGTGACTGAAGGTAGCCACAAATAATAACATATTTCTTCGGGTTGGATTCGTCTCATTATGGGTGAGTCAAATTTCTTAGTGGCAACCTATGTTCTGATATTTTCGTGCATAGAACTGGTACATATATTTCTAAGTTCTTTTAAAAGCATCACTAATTGCAAGAGTGAGTGGCTCTCCCGTCACGTCGCCGTGGCGGCGGGCGCCAGCCAATGTTTAGCAAGCGTATTTGATCTTGACTAGCTCACCTTCCTGGCTAGGGTTAGGTTAAGTACCTAGGGTATTCTTTATAGAACAACTGTAGCTTCTGTCTTCAAGGTTGTTGAGTTTCTCAAGTATTGCAAAGATTCAATTCAATAGTCTGCAATCCTCTGCATGCAACTTGCAAGTAGGTATAGTGTTGTTCTGGACCTTCTGGTGTCTGTTCAGTGTTCAGTTGTTCACTAATGAAAACACTTTGCCTATTTTTTGGTTTTAACTGCCACAAGCCATTCTAGAAAATTGGGCAGAAAATCTGCTGGGAATTAGGAAAAGATAGGTTTTGGCCTTTTTTTCTTATGTACCTAAATATCTTGCTCTGTCTTTTGTTTGTACCTAAATGTAGGTTTTAACTTCCATGTTTTTTTTTTAATTTTGACTATTAATTTCAGATTGTATCTCACCATCTATAAATTATAATAATCTGTCTCATTGTAGAATTCTGGAATCTGGATACCTAGGTAATATATTGTCACGCTAACCCAGTCTGTAGAGTATGGCCTTTTAGCTCGAGATATCGGCGTCCCGGTATGGAATACTGGGCAGATTTTTCCGAAAACCGCGGGTAAAAATAGGCTATTCAAGTGCGATTTTCGAAAACCGCGGGTAAAATTTATCGTCGTCCAGGCTGT